AATGGAATGAAGATATCTCAGTTTGGCAATCTTCTCTAATTGGTCAAGTTTTGGGATTAAATGTCAAATTCAAGGCCATGGAAGGTTTTGTGCAAAAAGCCTGGAAGCAGTTAATGCCAGAAGTCTGTCTGCTAAAACCTGGAATTTTTTTGTTTAAATTCAAAGATAAAGAAGATATGAATGAAATTTTGAGTAAGGGACCTTGGTTCTTTGGTTCAAGACCCTTATTGCTGAAGCCGTGGTCTATTGGAGATGATATTGACAAAATTAGGGATTGTGTATATCCAATGTGGATACAACTTCCAGCTTTGAGATTAAATCTTTGGAATGCAAAAAGTATTAGTAAGATTGTTAGTGCTATTGGGTGTCCCATAGCTACTGACAGGTTAACAGCAAATAGGCAGCGTTTGGCATACGCAAGAGTACTGGTTGAGGTTAATATGCCCTCCCCTCTCCCAGACCAAATCATCATTCAAGGTCCTAATGGGAAACAAATCATACAGAAGGTGATATATGAGTTAAAGCCCAAATGGTGTAATCTGTGCAAATTAGTGGGGCATGATACACAATTCTGCAGGAATAAAATGAGAACTCAAAGATGGATTCCAAAGAAAACTTCTATACCTGGTATTATAGAGAAGGAGAATGTTAATGATATACATGATTCTCATAGACAGGAAGGCAATGCCAATAATGTGCAGTTTCAGTCTGCTGTAAAGGAACCTGTTATGCAGTCTGGAAAAAATTCTGATCAACAGGCTGATGGATTTGTGGGGGGCTCTCATCATGTGGAACAAGTAAATGTTACCTCTAAACAGAAAATAGTAGATGAACATGGAAAGGTAGAACTGCAAAAGTCTACAGCTTCTGGTCAAAAGCCTGTGAAAGAGTCTGTGCATGTTTTGGTGCATGAAAATCAAGTCAATACTGGAAATGTCCACAGATCTGGGGGTACTACACAGGGCAGTAGCTCATGGTTACATATTCAAAAAGGCAAACACATGAAGTCATCAATCCCAACCAATGCTTTTTCATACCTAGATATTTTGGATATTGATCCCTCTACTTTGGATAGAGGTGGGGGGA